CTAAACCCTAAGCCCTAAACCCTAAACCGATGCCTCCAAGCGCAACTCCAGGCGCCGGCACGCTTCTTCGGCCTGCCTGGAGTTTTAGGCCCGGGAGTAACTAGGAATGAAAAGGGTGCCCGTTGTGGTTTTGAGGGGAATGTAAGGGAGCCCAAACCCCAAGAAAAGGACAGAAAGGGGCCACTCCGGGTCCTAGGAGCTTTAGGCCAGGAAATGTTCCTGGTGTTTTCAGTAGCTTTGAGGCTTTGGGGGTCTTGGGGTTTTAGGGGGTTTTGGGGTAGTTTTAGGGTAGTTTAGGGTTTGGGGGGGGGTGGGGGGGCAACTTCGGAAAAGTTGAGGCTTTAGGGGAATTTGGGCCTTTGGGGTGTTGGGGTTCTAGGGTGCAAGGTTTTTGTACAGGGTTTAGGGCTTTCGTTTTGGGCTTGTTTAGGGTTAAGCATAGGGCTTAAGGCTTACAGCGCTCACACGCTCTCTGTGGCTTCGGGCTATAACGTCCATAGGGCAACCCTAAACCCTAAGCCCTAAACCCTAAACCCTGATCCCTAAACCCTAAACCCTTTGGGTTTGGGACTGAAGGCTTTAGGACTGGAGGGTTTAGGTGGGCTTTAAGGTTCTAGGGTTAAGGTTTGGTGCTTCTGACAAGGTCTAGGAATGTTTCAAACAAAAGCTTGGAGCTTGTTAACGGGCTTAGGCCTAGGTAGGTCTGAACTTGAGGTTTTAGGGGTTGGGGCCCGATTCCGAGATTCATTCTTACTTCCATAGGTAGGTTGGCCCTTTTAAGCCCTCACGATACGCCTTAAAAGTCGGATTCCTCTTAACCCCCCCCCCCCCAACAAAAAACAAAAAAACAAAAAGAAACATGCAATATCTCCATAGGGCCTACCTAAGCCCTAAACCGAAACCCTGAAGTCCTAACGCCGGGTGAGCTCAAGAGCGGCCTGCGGTCATTTGCTCGCCCCTGCTCCACCTCCGCAAGAAGGCCTCAGTGGCTTGGGGGCCTTCCGGGCTTTCGGGGGTTTAGAGGGTTTAGGGTTTACGGGTTCAATCCCCAGGGCCCCCCAGAACGGAGGAGCTTCGTCATGCGGGTGCCGCTCATTCCTAAAGATCCCAGTAAACGTCAGGTGTTTCGGAGAGCTTTAAAATCCCAGAGCTCTTAGAAGAATCTTAGGCTTAACACCAAGCCTGCCATCTCAAGCCCCTGAACTCTTAAATCGAACCCTAAACCTAAAACCTCAACCCGGGTTTCGGGTCTGGGAGCAGTGGGTTTCCCAAACAGGTGGTTTGGTTTGGGGGTTGAGCACTTCGGGGATTAGAGGTTTGGGGGTTCGGAGCGGGTTTGTAATGCCAAACCTTGAGCCCCCAGCCTAAACCCTAAACCCTAAACCCGAAACCCTAAACCCTAAAACCGAAACCCTTAACCCGAAACCCTAAACCCTAAACCCTCCCACGTCGGCGCTCAGGCGTGGGGGAGCTGGGACGAAACGGATTTGGGGATCTCGAGCATCAGGATCCTACGGCGCCATAAACCCCAAAAACCCTCTAAACCCTAAACTCTAAACCCTCAAGACTCAGCCCCGAACCTCTACACCTCTGAATCTTCACCTACACACACCGCCAAACCTCGTAAACCCCGAGCCCCAGTACCCTAAACCCCCGAACCCCAACCCCAAACCCCAAACCCAAACCCCGAACCCTAAACCCTAAACCCCAAACCCCAAACCCCAAACCCTAAACCCTAAACCCTAAACCCTAAACCCTAAACCCTAACCCCCCCCCCCCCCCCCCCCCCCCCGGCACATCCCCCCCCGGCCTCGCCGCGCTTCGGCGAGGTCGGTGCAGGCTTTGGACAGCTGGTCCTCCGCAAGTTTGGGGTTTCGGGTTTCGGGTTTAGGGTTTAGGGTTTAGGGTTTAGGGTTTAGGGTTTAGGGTTTAGGGTTTAGGGTTTAGGGTTTAGGGCTCAGGAAGGGGTGTAGGGCTTAGTGTTTGGGGTTTCGGGAATGGGGAATAAGGATTTAGGATTTCGGTCTTGCGGTGAAGGAGTCCCAGTGGCTCGGCGGGTTTCAGTTTAGCATGTTAACGAGCCTCTAGTCTCCCGGAGAAAAAGAACAGACCATTCATATTGCTAAGGATCCCTGTATATTATGTCGGGGATTGCTTTGCTTAGATTCCTCAACCCTCAACCCTCAACCCCAAGCCCTGAACCAAAAAAACTAGTCAACGGCATATTGCTGAGGGTTTTCAGTTCCCACGTAGGTTACCTTACAAAACAGGCTTCTACAAGTGCAAGGAATGTACAAGGGTACTATAAGGGCAGTGGATCGACTCTATATACAATATGTGGGAACATGGTGGAAAAACACGCCTGTCTTAGCTGAACCCCATGAGGCCCTGAACCCTAAAGCCTAAACCCTAAACCCTAAACCCTAAACCCTAGGCTCCAGCTGCTGCACGCGCTCCGCATCCAAGACGTTGAGCGCCTGCAGCGGGCTGCAGCGGAGTGCCAGCTTCTACTGGTAGGGTTTAGGGTTTAGGGTTTAGGGTTTAGGGTTTAGGGTTTAGGGTTTAGGGTTTAGGGTTTAGGGTTTAGGGTTTAGGGTTTAGGGTTTAGGGTTTGGGGTTTGCAGTTTCAGGACCCTGGAACCTTGGGGCCTTTAACTCCCAACAACCTTCGTACCCGAGGCCAGACTCCCAAAGTTTCCACAACTCGTGAATTTAGGGTTTAGGGACTCTCTCTACCTACAGTTTTATGGGATATACCTACGAATTAAGGGGTAGTTACTACTAACCCCAAGCTTCAGTTTGGGGATCCCTGTCATTTGCACGCCCCTGTCGCAGTACATCTCTCCACCCGTAACGACCAGCATCCCCGACCCCAAATTGCTAAGACTCCGAACCCCGAAGCCGGAAGCCCTGAAGCCCAAACCCTAAATATCACAAAATATGCCTCAGAACCCCCAAAATATCCCTAAACATTCCTTAAACCCCTAAATATTCCTTAACCACCCCCCCCCCCCCCCCCCCCCCCCAAAAAAAAAAAAAAAAAAAGAATGAACCCCAAAACCCTCATCAACCCTGAAAACCTCACACGAACTGTGCCTCGACCTTGCCGGCAGTTTCGAAGGCCTGCCGATCGAGCAGGTCCTGGCATTTAAGGGCATTAGGATTTGGGGTTTAGGGTTTAGGATTTAGGGCTTAGGGTTTAGGATTTAGGGTTTAGGGTTTAGGATTTAGGGTAGAAGTCATGGCTGCCAAACTGCGGGCTCCCATACTGTAGCTACCCTGCGTTGGTTACGATTTGGCAGCCGTAAACCCTAAAACGGATTTGGGAGCCGGAAACCCTAAAACCCTAAAACCCTAAACCCTAAAACCCTTCAGGTCTAGGATTCATTGTGGGCTTAGGGGTTCTCAAGAGTTCGGGTCTAGGGTCGTTTAGGGGTAGTCGTTTTGGGGAGCTAGGCCTGAGTTTGGGCGCTTCAAGGCTTGAATCGTAAACCTAACCACTAACCTCGAAACTTCAGACTTGGGAGTACGGCTTTTAGGGTTTTAGGGCTTCGGGCTTATGCTGGCAACATTGCCACCTTTTCACCAGCACAGTGCAGAACCACGTTTGACGCAAGGGCACCGATCGGCCACCCCTTCTATACTCCAAATACAATAGAACCGCCTTAAGGGGATCCACCAAAAAGGATACCCTTGTTTTCGGAAACCCCCTTTTAGGCCTTTGGGCATGGAGGGAGAGTTCCTGTGAAATTAAAAACCCTACATCCTAAACCCTAAACCCTTGTGGAAAGTTCCTTTCAGAGCACGAGGAGCAGTAGACTACAGACGCTTTTTTGGGGGAAGAAACAAGACCGCAGGGAACCCCTGATGCTGTTCAGAACCTCCTAGACCCCATGACCCTATAACCCTAAGCCCTATACCCCTTTTCCCGGCTTAGCCGTCGACGTGCAGTATTTCATTCAATAGCCATATGGCGAAGAAGACGGTTTCAAGCTTAGAGTTAAGATTCTGATCCTTAACAAACAAGACCGAAAGCTTTCAGATCCATCCCTCACCAAGATCCCCCTGCGGGGCTGGGACTAAGCACAAAAAGGGCCCTAAACCCACATGGGTCGTTCTCTGAGTCAGGTTCCCTTGGTGGGTCCCAGCTTGTTTCGTACAGCATCAAATATGAAAGTCGGGGTCCCCTATAGAATACGGCACCCGCAGAAAAAGACCTCCCAAAGGACTCGAATTTAGAGAACCACCCACATGTCTTAAGTCTCATAGAGCTTGCAACCCCCAAACTTGCAACCCCCAAGCCCTAAACCCTAAACCTTTAGCCCTAATCGCTGAAACGCTCAGGACCCCCTTCAAGCCCCAACGCAAAAAACAACACCAACACCCCGTAGAACCACAATGCCTTGAAATCCTTAAAATACCCCAAACCCTAAACCCTAAACCCTAAACCCTAAACCCTAAACCCTAAACCCTAAACCCTAAACCCTAAACCCTAAACCCTAAACCCTAAACCCTAAACCCTAAACCCTAAACCCTAAACCCTAAACCCTAAACCCGATGAAAACCAGCTAGTCATCCCCAACCGCTCAAGCCCAAACCCTGCATGCGGTCCAATGAAACCCCCGAAGACCCTAAAGGCCGTAGACACCCCAAAGCACCCTGCGACCCCCCAAAACACTACCTGATTCCTAAACCTTGTATTATCCCTAACCCTAACCCTAAACCCTAAACCCTGCACCCTAAAGCCTCAACCCAAAACCCTATAAACCCAAGAAACCCTAAACCCTTGGCCCCGCACGCGCAGCTCGCCGGCGCGCTGCTCCACAAGATCGCGCGCATCCAGGGCCACCTCCGACGACGCTGCGGGTTTACTTACTGTTGGTTGGTAGGGAATGGGGAGGGTTTAGGCGGGTTTAGGGTTTAGGGTTTAGGGTTTAGGGTTAAGGGTTTAGGGTTTAGGGTTTAGGGTTTAGGGTTTAGGGATTAGGAGGAATGAGGGAATGAGGTAACCTATATAATCCCTTAAAGGGAATACTTAGGGCGCTAATTCCCTCATTCCCTGTTAACCAACCGTAAGTTTGAGGGTTTCAAGGTCTCAGCGTGTTAGGTCTTAGTGTATTTTCAGGCTTGAGGTTTAAGGCATAAGGCTTGGAGTATTTTTAATGTTTTTGTTTACGTAGCTTGACATATATACCCTATAAACCTTTAACCCTGCTATACCCTAAGCCGTATATCCGAAACCCTACATCCTAACCATAAATCTTATAGACCCTAAATCCTAAACCCAAAATCCTACACCCCAAATCTTCTAAACCCTAAATCCTAAACCCTAAATCCTAAACCCGAAATCCTGAACCCTAAACCCTAAATCCTAAGCCCTAAGCCCCAAATCCTAAACCTAAACCCTGAACCCAAAATCCCCAAAAGCCCTGCACTGTCTCCGTCCTTCTCAGCGGCTTCCCGCGCAAAGGCCTTGACCTCCGCCTGGCCTCAACAAGCACTCTCGGCTCAGTTGGGTTTAGGGTATTTAGGGTATTTAGGGTATTTAGTTACGGGTTTAGGGCTTTAGGGGTATTTAGGGTTCAGGGTTTAGGGGTCAAGGGGCTTCAGGATGTTTGGAAGGGCTTTGAGGGTTGAGGGGCCTTGTATTGTGTCTTTGCTTTGTCCAAAGAAGGTCTTGAGGTGGGCATATGCGCATACTACGGCATTCAGCTGAGCAAGTACAACACCCTGAGCCCAAAACCCAAACCCTAAACACGGCCCTACACGAAACACCTACTTCTCCCCACACGCAGCCCCAAAAAGCCCTAAACCCCTAAACCCCAATCCCTAATTCCTAAACCCAAAACCCAAAACCCTAAACCCAAACCCCTATCCCTAAACCCAAAACCCCTATCCCCAAACCCTAAAACCTAAACCCTAATCTCCAAGCCAAAAACCTCAAACCCCTATCCCTAAACCCTAACCTAAACCCTAAACCCTAAACCCCCAACCCTAAACCCTAAACCCTAAACCCTAAACCCCAAACCCTAACCCTAAAACCTAATCCCTAAACCCTGAACCCCAACCCCCTATCCCTAAACCCTAAACTCCAAACCCTATACCCTAAACCCCAAGCCCTAAACCCTAAACCCCACTCCCCAAACCCTAAACCCTAAACCCTAAACCCTAAACCCCTCAACCCTAAACCCTAAACCCTAAACCCCAAACCCCAAACCCCACCAAAGGGGCGCAGAGCGCCTTCGGCGCTCTGCGCCGCAGCGGCCGCCAGGCGCTCCAGGCGCAGGTCCAGGCGGCTCAGGGCTTCTTCGACGTGCCTCGCTTTGGGGGGTTTAGGGTTTAGGGTTTAGGGTTTAGGGTTTAGGGTTTAGGGTTTAGGGTTTAGGGTTTAGGGTTTAGGGTTTAGGGTTTAGGGTTTAGGGTTTAGGGTTTAGGGCTAGGGCTGGTTTAGGAATTAGGCCGCTCAGGGGTTTAGAGGTTCGGGGGTTGGGAGTTTGCGGTTTTTGGGGCTTGGGGGTTTAGGGGTTTCGGTTTAGGGGGTTCCGGGTCTTGGGCTGGCTTGGCGTTGTGGGGGGTGGGGGGGCTCTGGGGGTTAGGTTTAAGGGGCTCTGGGGGTTGGAGGTCAAGGGCTCTCGCTGCTGCCTGTTCTTTTGGTGTTGGGGGGGGTGGGGGGGCAGAGAAGGATTTGGGAGTCTGTTGTGGCAGGGGTTGTGGGGTGGGGTGGGTGGGGGTGCTGTGGGGCTTCGTTTCCTGATGACGGGTAGCTCCTTTATTTGTTGTATGTTGTGTTTTGCTTTTTGTTTGTTCTGTTGTTTCGATGCTTGGTTTGTTTTGCTTTGTTTGTTGGTCATGTTTGCTTGTGTGTTATTTGTTTAGCGGGCCTGGTGACGGTGAGTGACAACCCTAAACCCTAAACCCTAAACCCTAAACCCTAAACCCTAAGGTGTAGAGCTTACTCAGTGCCCGCAACCATGAACGGCCTCCGATCCACGCTGCGGAAGCTCTCCACATCGGCGCGGATACCTTCGCCAGCATGGGGGGTGTTAAGGCTTAGGATTTAGGGCTTAGGAGGTTTAGGAGGTTTAGGAGGCTTAGGAGGTTTAGGAGGTTAGCAGGTTTAGGAGGTTTAGGAGGTTTAGGAGGTTTAAGAGGTTAGGAGGTTTAGGAGGTTTAGGAGGTGTAGGAGTTTTAGGAGGTTTAGGAGGTGCAGGGTTTTTTTTGGGTGCGGGGCTTAGGGCCTAGGGCAGTTCAGCATTCAGGCTAAAGGCTTTGGGTTGTGGTCCTGTCAGATAAAAGGGGTTTGGGGTTGAGGGTTTGGGGTCTCGGGTCCCTACTAGTCCCTAAACCCTAAACCCTAAACCCTAAACCCTAAACCCTGAACCCCAAAAACCTAAACCCTAAAACCCTAAAACCCTAAAACCCTAAAACCCTAAAACCCTAAAACCCTAAAACCCTAAAACCCTAAAACCCTAAAACCCTAAAACCCCCTAAAACCCTAAAACCCTAAAACCCTAAAACCCTAAAACCCTAAAACCCTAAAACCCTAAAACCCTAAAACCCTAAAACCCTAAAACCCTAAAAACCCTAAAACCCTAAAACCCTAAAACCCTAAAACCCTAAAACCCTAAAACCCTAAAACCCTAAAACCCTAAAACCCTAAAACCCTAAAACCCTAAAACCCTAGAAACCTGAACCCTAAAACCCCAAAACCCTAAAACCCTAAAACCCTAAACCCCAAACCCCAAACCCAAACCCTAAACCCCAAACCCCAAACCCTAAACCCTAAACCCTTACCTGTGACCTCAAAGGCAAAACTCTTGGGAGGCCAGGCTTCCGTGCCTTTCTGGCCCTCGCCGAGCTCGGTCAGCGCCGACACCAGGCGCTCCAGCTGCGCCTGCGTCTCGAAAGGGTTTAGGGTTTAGGGTTTAGGGTTTAGGGTTTAGGGTTTAGGGTTCAGGGTTCAGGGTTTAGGGTTTGGGGTTTGGGGTTTAGGGTTTAAGGTTTAGGGTAGTTATATGGGCCCTCAATATGGTCCCTGACCTCCTTTAAAGGGTTCTGATGTATGGGCCCTTAATTTATGTAGGGCCTATAAGGGGTCCCCTTAAAACGGCCCATACTAAGGGACCATGTAATACCCTAAGACAAAAGGCCAAAAAGGATGGGGATTTTGGGGTTCGTATGCTCCCCCTAAAATACTAACAATCCTTAATAGGGATTCGAATAAGGGGTACTATAATCCGTATGAAGGGCTGCTAGTATAAGATGAAGCATCCCAATTTGCACGGCTCATAGGGTCTATCGGGTTTACAGGGTGTATGGGGCTTGTAGGGTTGGTGATGTAAGGGCCCGGGATATCCTAAACCATGCGTCCTAAACCCTAAACGCTTAACCCCCTAGAACCCACAAACCCTACAACCCTAAAACCCTGAAATCCTAAAGTCCAAAACCCCTAAAACCCAGAGGGTTTAACCTACAATCCTAAAACCCTCCAGACTCTAAAAACACCAAAGCCCCAAAACCCAACAAAATACTTCAGTTCTCCAAACTGAAACCCTAAGGCGCATCCCGACTGCTCCCTAAATTCCTAAATCCTAAACCCTAAACCCTAACCTTAAACCCCAAACCCTAAACCCTAAACCCTAAACCCTAAAGCCTGGCGTTCCACATCCGTGCTCCGCAAGGCCTGGCCGAAGGGGTGTGCGGAACTACGGGGGGGGGGGGGGGGGGCGCTGCTTCCGGGGCTTTACCTGGGACTCTCTTTACATAGGGTTTAGGGTTTAGGGTTTAGGGGTTTAGGGGTTTAGGGGTTTAGGGGTTTAGGGTTTAAGGGTTTAGGGGTTTAGGGGTTTAGGGTTTAGGGTTTAGGGTTTAGGGTTTAGGGTTTAGGGTTTAGGGTTTAGGGTTTAGGGTTTAGGGTTTAGGGCTACCTGGGACTCTCTTTACCTACAGTTTCCTGGGTCATACCTGCTAATTAAGGGGAAGCCACTACTAAACTGTAGGTAAAGAGAGCCGCAGGTAGGGTTCATTTTACCTACAGTTTTCTGGGCTAATTACAGCTGCGAATTAAGGGGTCGTCACTACTAACCGTCCCTGTGGGGTACCCTAAATATTAGGTGCCGCATTATAATTGGGATCCTAATTTTGAAAGCCACCCAAATAGAGCCCCGGGTAGGGTTTAGGGTTCGACGTCCTTTGCGTCAATGCTGTGCGAGTTCGTCGGACGTAGGGCCGCTTTTTGGGGTTTAGGATGCAGGGTTTGGGGTTTAGGGTTTAGGGTGTGAAGATCTCAAACTTTCGGGTCCTGAGGAGACCTGCCAATGCTGCCGCTTGCTTCCCACGACGCTGGCTAAACTCTAGACCCTAAAAAACCCAAACCCCTAACCCCCAATCCCCTACACCCCTAAACCCTAAACCCCAATAAACCCCATAACCCCCATAAACCCTAAACCCTAAACCCTAAACCCTAAAGCCTAAACCCTAAACCCTAAACCCTAAACCCTAAACCCTAAACCCTAAACCCTAAACCAGTAGCAAGAGGGGCATTCGTCAGCATCCCCCGAGCCTCCAGGCTTTCGCTTTGCATCTCCCAGCGCTCCTGCAGAAGAGGCTTCCGAAGCCCTGGAAGTCTGAAACCCTGAAAAGGGTTTAGGGTTTAGGGTTTAGGGTTTAGGGTTTAGGGTTTAGGGGTTTAGGGTTTAGGGTTTAGGGTTTAGGGTTTAGGGTTTAGGGTTTAGGGTTTAGGGTTTAGGGTTTAGGGTAAACCCTCTAAACATCATCAACCCCATAAACCCTAAGAAACCCTATTAACCCTATAAACCCAAAATCCCTCTAGCTCCTGTCCCGAGTTCTGATTCCTAAAACCAACGCCCAATCCCCCCCCCCCCCCCCACCCCCCTAAACCCTAAACCCTAAACCCTCAACCCTAAACCCCTAAACCCCTAACCCCCAAACCCTAAACCCCTAAACCCCCCAAAACCATGGGGTTTGGGGCTTTGGGGCCCGACCATGCACTCCTTCAGCTCCCCAGCCCTCCGGTCTGCCGCAGTGGCAGAGCGTTCCGCTGAGTCGAGGCCTTTCGATTTAGGGTTTAGGGCTTAGGGTTTAAAGTTTAGGGTTTAGGGTTCAGGGTTGAGGGTTTGGGGTTTGGGGTTTAGGGTTTAAAGTTTAGGGTTTAGGGTTCAGGGTTCAGGGTTGAGGGTTTAGGGTTTGGGGTTTAGGGGTTAAGGGCTTCGGGTTTGGGGTTGAAACGGTTTAGGGTTGAGGGCTTAGGGGAGGGGATTTGTTATGAAACCCAGGGTTGAGGGAGCTTACGGCAGTGATCTCTGCAATTTCAGTAGATATAGTACATGTACAGAAGTATCCTAGCCCTCAGAAAGGCGATTTTTTTCGCGGAACGCCAATGTACGACTGGAAGATTGGTTTAGGTTTGAGGGTTTTAGGGCAAAAAAGATTGCGGTTCAGGTCAAGCCTCAGTTAAAGCGCCGCTGAACACACTTGAGTGTTCAAGCCTTTCAGAGGGGGGGAAGAGAACACAAAAGAACCCCAAGAAGCCCAATACTTATCCCTTTAAGGGATCACTACGTGGTTGAGAACACTTTTTGTGAACCAGTCTACAGCGTTCACACCGTGCGTGGAGACTGCGGGAAACCGCTTCCCCTATGGCTGCGCCTTCCAACCATCCCCTTCCAACCATCCCCTTCCGCCCCCCCCCCCCCCCCCCCCCCCCCCCCCCCCCCCCCCCCCCCCCCCCCCCACGCCCGACAGCCTTCTAGGCACTGCGCCGCCGCGGCAGAGATCCTCTCAAAGCTGTCGCTATAAGTCGATTTTAGGGATTCAGGGCTTAAATCGGTAACACCAAACTGAAACACCGCAATCCCCCCAGGTGAAGTAACCTCCCACTTGTGTAACCTCGCGCCTGCTGGCTCGAGTCTATGAGGCTTTCTACCCTCAACCCGACACCCTACGCCCTAAACCCTCCTAAACCCTCCAGTCCATGAACCTTTCTACCCTCAACCCTACACCCTACGCCCTGGACCCCCTGAACCTTCAAGTCCATGATTCTACCCTAAACCCTACGCCCTAGACCCCTACAAGCCTAACACCCTGAAACGTCGGACGTTGGCCGCTGAAGCCCTGACGCAAACGGTTGTTGAAGATGCTGCCGGGTAAGACAAAAACCCCATAAGCCCCTAAACCCTAAACTGGCAGCCAGTGAAACACCCTGTAGACCCCCCTGTTGTGGAACCCCCAACCCTCCCAGCGCGCAAGCTCCTCTCGACCCGGATTTCCATCCGCCGCAAAGCATCCTCGATCTGCCTGTGGCAAGGAGGGACCCTTGTAAGGGACCTTAGGGGTTATTCGGGGGTTATGTAGGGGCTACTTAGGTATATAGGGACTCTATAAGGTATACAGACGGGTCATATAGGGGAATAAGGTTAACGGTCCCTTCTCATACCGTTGGATGGTGGAGGTGCGGTTTGGCTTAGGGTTTAGGCTTCACGGTTTTGGGTTCAGGTTTAGGGTTTAGGGTGGAGGGGTTAGGGGTTAAGAGTTTAGGGTTTAGGGTCTGGGGGGTTTAAGGTACAGAGTTTTGGATCTATGCGGAACTTAAGGGGTCTAGGGTTCAAGGGTTTTCGGGGTCCAGGAAGGTAGTTTCATTTTCAGTTCAGCAGCACCAACCAAATTCTAGCCCGATAGTGGGGGGGAGTCAAGAACCTTCCCCCCCCCCCAAAAAAAAAAACAAACAAACAGAAAACTGTGTATGGCTTTCACTTGTTTGTAGTACATTTCGGCAACAGGTAATGTAAACGCAAGTATCTATATTAATTGTGGCTCTTGCACGGCTAAGTGCCAGCACCCTCCCTACAATCTAAACCCTAAACCGCCCATTCCATCCCTCTCCCCGAGATATCCGAGCTGCACCCTGAAACGGAGCTCCACGGCGCGGGTCTTGCTTTGGAGGTCTGCCGCCACCAAAACCCTAAACCTTACAACCCCAAACCCTAAAGCCTAAACCCTAAACCCCAACCCCGAACCCTAAATCTCATCACATGAGGCCCTTAGAGCACGCCGCACGAGAAGCAAGCGCCGCGCCTGTCCATGCTTCGGAAGTCGTCCATCTGCGTCGCAAAGCCTGGTGGTGAAATCCGGAACCCTCAAACTCCCGAGCTGCTTTCGGGTGGCTTCGGTTAAACAAAAAAAGAATCATCGACGTACTGAACAACCGCTACTGCCAAACGAAAAAACAACCCTGAACCCTCGAAGGTTTGCCCTACCTTGGGCACCAAATGAACCCTAAATGGGGTCATACACCCTATACTACTATGATCCCTTTCTTTAAGGTATATGGAGCCATCAACCCTCTTAGGGTTCATTTGGTCCCCAAGGTAGATGGGTGTGTCCCGAGACCGGGGCCATCCCCCCAAATAAGATGGACCCCCCAACCCACCCCCCCGGCAGATGCCCGAAACCCACCCTGCCCTCTTGGAACCCTTTAGGCCCCTCCCTCCCCGAAGAGACCCTCAACCCTAAACCCTAAACCCTAAACCCTAAACCCTAAACCCTAAACCCTAAACCCTAAACCCTAAACCCTAAACCCTAAACCCCCAAATTCTCGGAACCACATCCCCCACCCCCCTGGTCAGCCCTGCTAGGCCTCTCCGGCTTTCAGAGAGGTCCGCGGCGGCCTGCCCGGACGTTGGAGTTCTGCATCCGTAGTTTTAAGAGTCTACCTGGGCCTCTTAGGGTTTGGGGTTTAGGGTTTAGGGTTTAGGGTTTAGGGTTTAGGGTTTAGGGTTTAGGCTTACAGTTTAGTAGGAACTACCCATTAGGCTTTAGGGTGATAGGCTCATGGGGCTTGAGGGTGTTCCTGGGACTCTATGTACGTATAGTTTAGTAGTACCTACCCCTGAATTAGTAGGTACAACACATAAAATGTAGGTAAAGAGAGTCACAGGTAGGGCTTATAGGGAATGTAGTTTAGGGTTTAGGGTTTCGGGCTTCAGGTTAAGGGCTTAAGGTTTAGGTTTTGGGGTGTAAGAGTTCAGGGCTAGGGACCCATGTGGGGTTGAGGTTTTGGGGTTTGGGATTGGGGGCCTAGGGTATCTAGGGCTTAAGATTGGGTTTAGGCGTTTACGCTTAAGGTTTAGGGCTTAGTGGGTTTAAGTTTTGGGGTTTAGGGCGTTTAGGTTTCGGTGCTGGAGTGTAGCGGGTTCACGACTTAGGGTTTTTTGGGCGTCAGGTTTACGTCCAAGATATAGGGGTTTAAGGAGTGCAGGTTTCAAGGGCTTTTGCTTCTTTTTGGGTGCTGGATATTCCCCCTTATACTAACAGTCCTTTAACAGGGATTATCGTACTCCCTATTATAAACCCTATGAAGGACTGTTACAAGTAGTATAAGGAACATCCCAACCCTAAACCCTAAACCAGCTTAGGCTTGTAAGGGTCTCGGGATTTCGAGAACTAAAGTCTGACTTTTTTGAACCGTGGGATGAGAACTCCCTCCCATCCTTCCTTCATCCCGCGCGCCTAAACCCTATTGACCCGCAAACCGAAACCCTAAACTTAAACCCTACAAGCCCTCCACCTCGCCTGCCCTTGCGCCTGTATCCAGGTATTCAGGCCCGTCTTGAAGGATGATGGGCCCCCTAAACCCCATATAACCCTAGACCCTAACCCTAAACCCCATATAACCCTAAACCCGAACCCTAAACGCTAAACCCTAAACCCTAAACCCCGGAACCCCCTAACCGGAGCCCCCCTTGAGCCCCAGAAGCCCCCGGCCTTGGTCAAGTGCTCCAGCTGGAGCTGGCACTCGGCATCCGAGCTCTTCAGCGCCTTTGGCATTGTTGAATATTGGTTCAGGGTTTAGGGTTTAGGGTTTAGGGTTTAGGGTTTAGGGGTAAAACCTCCCAAAAGTGGTACTTACTAATTACTATTGGGTCGTTCTTAGGAAACCTTACGGGGACGTACTTTTGGATCCTCCCAGGGGTCTGGGGAGCTGCAACTGAGGGTTTGGGGCTGTAATTTGCGCTGTAGGGAGGTACAGGGCTTGGTGGGGGGTTCGGTTATGGACAAGAAGAATGTGCACGACGTCGCGGGTTCCCGACGGCGCAGGACCTGGGCTTTGTCACCGAGCCTCGCAAAAACTCGGCGGGCAACGCGCCGCCGCCGCCGCTACACGTGACCGCGCGGTCCCCTCGCCACCCACACCGCCCTCACCTCTAGAGATCCTTTTGCGCTCCCACCCCACCCGCAACCCAAAGTGCCCTCACCTTCCTTAATAGAGATCAATTGAGCTCTAAGGCACCCACGGACAAGGGCGTCACATCCAACACCGACCAACGACCGCACTGCACTACATCCCACTCGACTTCGCACGTCAGCACCCTGCGTCAGAGCGTCTCAAGTGGTGATGGGACACCTCGTGTCCATTGCTGGCCAGAGTGAGCGATCATATCGACCCTAAACCCCGACCCCTAAACCCTAAACCCCTAACCCCTAAACCCCTAAACCCCTAAACCCCTAAACCCCTAAACCCCTAAGCCCCTAAACCCCTAAACCCCTAAACCCTAAACCCCTAAGCCCCTAGACCCCTAAACCCCTAAACCCCTAAACCCTTAAACCCTAAACCCTAAAGCCTAAACCCTAAACCCTAAACCCCTAAACCCCTAAACCCCTAAACCCCTCACCCTAAACCCTAAACCCTAAACCCTAAACCCTAAACCCAAAACCCTAATCCCCTAGAGGTTTTCAAAGGGGACCCGCATCGAAAAGCACTTCAAAGCAGGACCTGCAGCTCGGTGGATGTCTCCCCAAGCTGCCGCTCCACCAGCTCCTCTTTGTTTCATGGGGTTTAGGGTTTAGGGTTTAGGGTTTAGAGCTTCAGGGGCTTAGGGTTTGGGTGTTTAGGGTTTAGGGCTTCAGGTGGTTTGGGGTTTCGGAATTCGGGGCTGCCGGTGGGGGAGTGGGGGGGAGTGAAGAAAAGCACCTCAAAATGGGAGGATTACGCAGGGATAGGCATCCACTACTTCACTCCCTCTCAAGCATACGTAAGTCTAGGGAAGCCTAAAGCCTAAAGCCCAAAGCCCAAAGCCTACAGCCTAAGCCTAAAGCCTAACGCCTAACGCCTAAAGCCTAAAGCCTAACCCTAAACCCTGAACCCTAAACCCCTGCCACCCGCGTTTTCCTGCACAGAGTCGACGTCCATGCGAAAACGCCGCTGCAGATCCGTCATGGCCTGCCCAGCGCATCATCTATAATGTGCATGAGGGTTTAGGGTTTAGGGTTTGGGGTTTAGGGTTTAGGGTTTGGGGTTTAGGTACAGCTATCACTTGGGATGTTCCCCCCCTTAGACTAAGACTCAGAGTGTTTAATAGGGGCTATAACAGGGGGGTTCTATGATCCCTATTTAAGGACTGTTAGTAAAAGGAGGAACATCCCAAGCTATCACCACTACAACTTTCAACACGCAACACCCGAAAACAACAACACGCGAAAAGCAAAAGACGGTACTAAATCTCCAGGGTCTGGTAGTACCAACTCAACCAGGGCTTAGGGCTTGGGGTTCAGGCTTCTTGAGGGGTTGGGCGTCCACTGGCCCGCAATCTTATGATTATTGCAAAGCCCTGCGGTTCCCCACAAACTCCTCTGTAAGCCCTATCTAGGGTTTAGGGTTTATGATGAACGTTCCATTGCAAGATGCCTGTGAAAGCATACGAAAAACCTCCGTCTGTCTCAAGGCGGGAACGCCTCGCTTTGGGAACGGAGCTCCTCAGAAAAGTTCAAGGATTTGTTGGATTCAAGGGTTTCTAGGGCTGTGTAGGTTTCTTGTTTCTCGATGGATTCGATTGGCGGGGTCTTACAGGCTACTATAAGGTTGTGTAGTGCTTCTATTTCGGGGCTTTGCATGTCTCTTAGAGTTCTGTGGTGTCTTGCCAGGTGTTAAACGGCGTTTTGGGTTTTACAAGTTTGATTGTAGGGTTTTTGTGGAGCTGATGGAGTAGAAACTGCCTGCTCAAAAGTCCCATGCGCCCTGACTCCGGGCTTCGGGTAAACCGCAGGGTAAACGGGCCTGACTCCCCAAAGCCCTAAACGCCCAAACCCCCGAAACCCCCGAAACCACCGAAACCCCCAAAACCACCAAACCCCCAAAACCCCAAGCCCCTAAGCTCTAAACCCTAAACCTAAACTCTAAACCCCAGGCCCCTAAACCCTAAACCCTAAACCCCCTGAACCCCCTAAACCCCGAACCCCCGAAACCCTGAACCCCCTAAACCCCTCAGGGCTTTGCAGTGGCATCGGCGCTCCTTCGCGGCACTGGCGGACAACTCCTCGCGGAGCCGGTGCAACTGCTCCTCGTGAGGCAGAGGGTTTAGGGTTTAGGGTTTAGGGTTTAGGGTTTAGGGTTTAGGGTTTAGGGTTTAGGGTTTAGGGTATAGGGTTTGAGTTTAGGGTTTAGGGTTTAGGGTTTAGGGTTTAGGGTTTAGGGTTTAGGGTTAGGGTTTAGGGCGACTCTCCATAAGCAGCGTTTACTCTAAGCCCCCAAAGCCACTCACTGCGGGGGTTTCGGAGCTAGGGCTTGGGGTCCCCCCTAAACCCTAAACCCTAAACCCTAAACCCTCAAACTGGCTCTGCCTCCATGTCCGACTGCTGCGTGGAGCTCGCCATCCGAGCTTCCTTGCAAGGGCGCAGCCACCCCAAAACGGCACTCGGTACGGAGGGTTTAGGGTTTAGGGTTTGGGGTGTAGGGTTTGGGGTTTAGGGTTTGGGGTTTAGGGTTTGGGGTTTAGGGTTTGGGGTGTGGGGTTTAGGGTTTCGGGTTTAGGGCTTAAAGGGTTTAACTATCGCCTGCAACGCCGGAAGAGATCCTGGGAGGCGTAAGAGCAGTTCAAGAGCATTGAAAGAGCACCCGTAGCCCTCCAAGAGCACAGTCATTGGCAATCTCCGGATTTATCACTTCTAGCTTCAGTGATTTCGGGCTGAGGGTCGGAAGTCTGAAGTAACCGCGAAGAACGCTGCCCTAGACGAGCATGTTGGCGTGGATGCTGCAGCGGGCTCACCAGAGTCGCATCTCACCGGGCAACCGATCTCAAAGAGGTTGCTAAGCACCTTGGCAGCGTGCTTTTTGCCGGATCCGCCGCGGCCCTCTGCCGGCTCCTCAGGGCAAGGGGATCCCCGACCTCGGTCGGGTCTGCTGCCTCCTTTCTCCGGGTTTCGCACTCAATCTCCCAAAAGTCCCTGAAGACTTAAACACAGGCAGCCCCACTACACCTCCATGACCAAGATGTACCCTTAAGACTTTCATCAGGGTCCGAAGATGAGCATTCCCCCGCCCCGTCAAGAAAACAGCACCGACACACCAACCTCAACCCTAAACCCTAAACCCCAAGCCCTAAGGCCTAGCCCTAAACCCTAAACCCTAAACCCTAAACCCCAAAACCCTAAACCCTAAACCCTCAACCCTGAAAACCCCCTGGCCCTCAAAGGCCCTAAGCCCCAAACCCCAGGCAAACGAGCCCTCCGCCTCGTTTAAGCAGCACAGGGCTTCTCCTATAAGACCCTTATCGGGGAAGCTTCGCCCTGATGTTGGTTGCCCTAAACCCTAGTAACTCCTAGTAGCCCTAAACCCTAAACCCTAAACCCTAAACCCTAAACCCTAAACCCTGGACCCTAAACCCTAACCTAAATAAACCCTAAACCCTAGTAACCCTAAACCCTAAACCCCAAAAACCCAAAACACCGGCAAACTCGCCTCTTTGAGGCGGGCCACAGCTGTCCGCAGCTCCTGAGGTTGTAGGGTCTCTACCGGTTTAAGGTTTAGGGTTTAGAGTTTAGGGTGTCGGGTTTAGGGTTTCGGGGTTTAAGGGTTTCGGGTTCAGGGGTTAGCAGGGTTTAGGGTTTACTGTAGGGTTTAGGGTTTAGGGTTTTGAGGTTGGGTCCTTAAGGCCTGACTACTATTTGCTTAAGAACCCCAAGACAATGAAAGATAATAATCCCTATATTGCCAGGGTTTATAGGGTTTAGGAATTTAAGGGTGGGTCCTGAAGGCTTTACGGTTTAGGATGTTAAGGATGTCAAGGCCGGGTCCTTAAGGCTTTAGGGCTGAAGGCTTAGAGCTTAGGATCTTCAGGTTGGGTCCTTAAGGCTGTAGGGTTGAAGGTTGAGGGTTTATATGTTCTAGAGTTTAGGATTTAGGGTTTAGGGTTGAAGGCGTAGAGTTTAGGATTTAAGGTTGGGACCTTGAGGCCGTAGGGCTGAGGGTCCATGGTCGAAACTCCTCAAACTGTTTGGGCCATCAGAACAACATGTTTCTGCCAGCAGGAGCCAATGACACTTCGTAAAAACATGCTGGAGGCCACTGCCGCCACATGCGCAATGGGGATGCCGCGAAGAGCTAAACCCTAAACCCTAAACCCTAAACCCTAAACCCTAAACCCTAAACCCTAAACCCTAAACCCTAAACCCTAAACCCTAGACCCTAAACGGCCCTAAACCCGAAACCCTCAACCCGGTTTACGGCAACATAGACCCTAAACCCGGTTTACCGCAACGTAGACCAGCATGGTGCAGAGCCTGCTGCGATTGCACCGCGAGCAGCTTTGCAAAAGAGCGCGAGTAACCAAGAGCGGCGCACACGCGCTGCCATATCCGGAACTGATCGCAATTCACGGCATGAATGTAGCTTCCCTAAATCCCCAAGTCACTTAGGGCTGAGGGTCCCTAACCCTAAACCCTAAACCCCAAACCCCAACACACAACCTACCAGCCCAAGTGCAGCAGAGCACACGGCTCAAGGCAAAGATGAAAAGAGCGCAGAGCTCGATTCAAGCACCCCAACACCGAAACCTGAACCCTAAGCCCTAAGCCCTAAGCCCTAAACCCTACACCCTAAACCCTAAACCCTAAACCCTAAAGGGTCTTAGTTTCGGGATTGGGGTTTAGAATTTATGGTTTCGGGTTTAGGGTTTAGGAGTTAGGGTTTACGGTTTAGGGTTTCTGTTCGAGGGTTTGCGGTGTCCTTTACCGCATCCCTTGCCTGCTTGTTTTAGGGTTTTAGGATTTTGGGGTGTTAGGGTTTTAGGGTTTGAGGGTTTTGGGGTTTTCGGGTTTCAGGGTTGTAGGGTTTTGGGGGTTTTAGGGCTTTGGTGTTTAGGGCATAGGGTCTACGTTTTTTTTCTCCGGCTTAAGGGCTAGGGCTTCAGGGCGTTCGGGCTTTGCGGGCACGAAATAGGGACTAGGGAGCTGGCTTAGGGGATAGGATTAGGGGGACCCTTGGGGATATAGACCCTCTGAATAATTAAGAGAGCCAGAAGAGGGTTCAGAAGGCGTTCCCTTTTAAGGGTCCCCCTTAACCTACCAAGGATGGCTTAGGTAGGAAGTATCGGAGGCATTTCTTCGGCTGCCCCCACCCCGCAGAATAAGAACCCTATCGTAGACGTATGATGGTTCACAGGGCCCAGAGCTCGAGGTTACTAGATAGCACTTACTCAGCCTGAGATCGGGTGTACAGCCTCAACCCTAAACCCTAAACCCTAGACCCTAAACCCTAAACTCCAAACCCTAAACCCTAAACCCGAAACCCGAAACCCTAAAACCTAAACCCCAAACCCCAGGCTTCGAGTCCCCAAAAGTCGGAACTCCGCCTCCAGCTGGCCTTCCACGCGGTCAGCCCTCTGCCGTCCTTCATTGCTTTCAGGCTCTCTCGGCTGGTAACGCTAAACCCTAAAGCCTGAAACCCTAACCCTAAACCCTAAATCCTAAACCCTAAACCCTAAACCCTAAACCCTAAACTTTACCCTAACCCCAAACCGTAAGCCTTAAACTCTGCAGTTTGGGTGCTCTGATGTGGGTTCGTGCTTAGGGCAACCGGTCCGTCACCCCTAAACCCTAAACGCCCTGCGCCCTAAACATCCTGAACCCTAAGCCCGAAACACATCTCTCTGAAGCGCAGTAAAGGGAAACCCAATTTTGCAAAAGACGTGTTTAGGGTTTAGGGTTGAAGGTTTAGGTTTTAGGGTTTCGGGTTTAGGGTTTAGGGTTTAGGGCGTAGGCCTGCTGCAGACTCCGCCAAGGCTGCATCAAGACGCCGGGCGCCTTCCTCGGCCTGTGTCTGCAGGCCTGCTCAGGGACTCCAATACCCCTCAATCCTTCAAGCATCGTCGGGTTCCTTATGTTCCTTAAATCATAACAGGGTTCCTTAGACTCCTGAAATCATGACAGGGCTCCTTTTCCTCCTTAAGTCATGATAGGGTTCCTTATATGAGCATCGGATTTTATTTGCTGGCGGGCGCAATGAGCCTATTTTAATGTTCGGTCCCTGATCTCGTTTGCCTCAAAACACCTCTTCCGGGCCAATGTCGTCTTAAGGGGTGATCTCGTTCAGTATTAAATAGTACTTGGAGTGTAGTGAGTGGTATAGTTGCCCTTAACCTTCGCCCGGTAACCCATTCAGGGGTATTGGAGACTCTGGGTGCATGCGGGCTGGGGGGGGGGGGGCTTCTGGATTCATGGGTTCAGTCGAGGCTAGATGTCTTGCTTCTCCAATAACAGGGAATGAAGATGGTTTTAAGCCTTGTTAGCGTGCCTACTAAATAAGGAAGCCCGAAAAGTTTGAAGTCCAACTGGCTAAGTAAGGTATGGGGCTTGGGGGTTTTGTCTAGGGCTTGAGGGGTTTATGTAGGTTTTCGGGTTTCACAAGGGTGTAAAAGTTTTAAGGCCCAGCCAGCATAAGGCTTCAGATTTGGGGGCTCATGGGCTTAGAATTTGCGACCCGATCAAGGTGTAGGGTGGTAAAGATGCTTAAGCACGACTCAAAGACCCGGTTAAGCCTAGGCTTTAGGGTTGAGGGTTGAGGGGGGTTGTCTTCCGACAGGAAGAGGATGGATCCGACAAAACATGAAAAAAACATCAACCCGGAAAGCTTCCGATGCCCCAAGCCCGAACCGAGTTGTCCAGTACCTCGGGGGACTAAAGGTTGACCTTTGGGATTATAAGGGGATTCTATTACCCCAAAAAGGTTCAAGCGTACCTACTCTACAAGTAAGCTAAAGTCTACATGAGCAATCACAACGCTGAACAATGGCACTGACTCAACAGTCATGGATGGTGTGGGGCAACGGCTCCTGCGACCCGGACCCTAAAACTCTAAACCCTAGACCCTAAATCCTACGAAAACCTGCGCCCTAAGCCGTCATGGCCTTGAAAGCCTTAAGGCTTATACAAAGCCTGCAACTCAAAACCCTAAACCCTAAACCCTAAAACCCTGCCGACCTCGGAAGCGGCCCAATTCGCTGCGCGTGCTTCGCGTCAGCTCGTCCATCTGGCCTTGCCTGTGGGTCATCCCCTTCCCCCAAAATGGAATTAGGGTTCAGGGTTTAGGGTTTAGGGCTTACTACAATATAACGACAACGGGAGTATCCAATATCAGTGGGTAGGGTTCTTTTTGAGGGGGAGGGAATCAATCTTGGTTAGAAGGAGTTGCGCGAGGGGCCCAAGGGATTCAGGGTGTGCGACAGACACGCTGGTCTTTCAGATAGGTTTTCAAAGAAGACCTTGAATTACAACGGTCCACAAAACTGCAAGTGACGGCAAACCCTGGACTTGACTTTGAAGCTATGATGTTGGCTGCTGGGTCTTGAGCGGGCTGCCTTGGTCCGCTGTTGTTTGAATTGCTCGCGTTGCGTCTGCACGATCCCCCAACACTTCCGATGCCAAAATTGAACCAGCCACACCGCGGTTAAACCTGAAATGGCGAAGTTCGCCTTCGTGGTCACGTGAGTCTAGTGCAAGCAGCCACGTGCTAACCCAGCTTGTAACATCGTGACTGCATCTGCTTCCTCAGATCCTTGCCGCGAAGGGCAGGCAGGAGCCACTCAGAAGCAATTGTGTCGATGTTCGGGTCCTACGAGGTCGCGGGCTCAGGGGTGTTTAGGGCTTCAGGAGCATGCCTTCACACGATGAGTCTCAGAGGTTCTTCCGGTGGTTGTCAGCAGACTCCAAACCCAGAGGGTCCACGTGTAGCAAGATACCTGAACTAGCTTCATGGCTTTCGTCAAAAGCCACTCTCGTTCAGGCATGAATAGGATACACTTTGGAATACCGACTCAGAATGCCATCATGTGACGACAGCAGAAACGCCCCGAAACAACAGCGACACCCGCGCCCAAGACCGCGACAACGACACCGAGCAGCAACTCCACCCTAAACCCTAAACCGTAAACCCTAAACCCTAAACCCTAAATCCGCAACCCTAAACCCCAAAAAAGTGTAGCAGCGATTCTCCGCCAGTGTGGTAGTGTTTCGCGGTCTTGCTGTCCCCTTATTTGCTGTCTCAGAGCCTTGGTGCTTCGTGCTCATGGCGTCTTGCAGTTGAGGTTGAGGGCTTGTGGATATTTTAGGGTTTAGGGTTGAGGGTTTGGGGTTTAGGGTTTGGGAAGTTTAGGGTTTAGGGTTTAGGGTTTAGGGTTTAGGGTTTAGGGTTTAGGGCTTAGGGTTTAGGGTTTCGGGTTTAGGGTTTGAGTGTTTCGGGAGTTAATGCGGGATGCAGGCTTTTGGTGTTTGTTGGTGCCTTGCTGCCTGAGGGGGTCTTTTGGGGGGTCAGACTGACAATGTCCAAATCTTGGCTGCACTCAGGAGGGTAGCTATAAATTAAACGTTTAGCTGCCTTCATAAGAAACCCAATAAACCCAAAAAGGTAAGGATCTAAAGTTACAGTAAAGTACCACAAAGAAATTTGCCTACTCAGAAGCTCTGGTGCTTGAATTCCGTGAGCCTAAGCCCAGGTGGCAAACACCACTTGGTCTGCAATTGGCCCGGGGGTTTAAGATTAGTGGGTTTCGGGTTAAGGGTTCAGAATTTAAGGGTTGGAGGTCTGGGGGGCTTAAGGATTGAGGTTTTACAACACCAAACCTCGCCCCGAAGGTGTAGATTCTGCCTACACCTGACACCCAAAACCCTGAATCCGAAAGCCTAAACCTCTAACACCTACACCGCTAGAACAGTAAACCAAAAACCCTAAGCCCTCCCTAAACCCGAAACCCCGAAACTCCGAACTCTCAACCCCCAAGCCCTCCAAGCCTGATACCCTAAACCCTCAAACCCCAAAACCCTCGAAGCCCCACACCCCAAACCCTATTATACCCCGACCCTGCAACGCTGAAACTGAAACCCTCAATCCCCAACATCTCCAACCCCTGCACCCTCAAACCCTCAAAACCCCTCCTCCAGTCCTCAAACTCCCCAAAACCCTCCAAAACCCTGAAGCCCTCAAACGTCAAAACCCTGAAGCCCCCTAAATAATGAGGCGAGGGAACCTCACGCACCGCCACGCTGTGACTTTAACTCCAGCTATGTGCAATCACAACACGTTTTATTCGAGCTCCAAGATGCCCTCACACCCCAAAACCCTGAAACACTCAACACCCTGATTCTTCAACCCTCAACCCCCTAAACCCCTAAACCCTCAAACCCCGAAACCCGGAAACCCTCAAGCTCCTCAACCCGAAAGCCTAAGCCCCCACGTCGGGCATGTGGCTCCAGACAGCTCAGTACCCCAAACCCTAAACCCTAAACCCCAAACCCCAAACCCGAAAAGCCAAACCCGAAAAACCCTAAACCCTAAACCCCAAGCCCTAAACAACCCTAAACCCCAAACCCTAAACCACAAACCCTAAATCCTAAACCCCTAAACCCCAAACCCTAACCCCCAAACCCTAAACCCCCAACCCTAAACCCCAAGCCCTAAACAACCCTAAACCCCAAACCCTAAACCCTAAACCCTAAATCCCAAACCCCAAACCCTAAACCCCAGACACCAAACCACCCTAAACCCAAACACCAAACCACAATCCCTAAACCCTAAACCCCAAACCCCAAAACCCTAAACCCTCAACCCGAAAACCCACTGGGCTCCCGACAGCTCATTGCGCAGGGCCCTCCACTGTGCGTCGAAGTGCGCCTTCCCAGGTTCGTCATGGGCTTCGGGGGGGGGGGGGGGTTTAGGGTTTAGGGTTTGGGGTTTAGGGTTTAGGGTTTAGGGTTTAGGGTTTAGGGTTTAGGGTTTAGGGTTTAGGGTTTAGGGTTTAGGGTTTAGGGGTTAGTTAGGGGTTCTAAGGTTAGGTTTGGGGTTGAGGGTTTAGAGGTTAGGGCTTTAGGATTTTAAGGTCTGGGGTGGAGGGTTTGGGCTTTAGGGTTTAGGACTTGGGGCTTGGGGGTTGAGTTTAGGATGTTAAGGTCTGGGGTTGAGGGTTTAGGGCTTAGGCGTTGGGGTTTGGGGCTTTTGGGGCTGTAGGGTTTAGGGCTTCGGGTTTAGGAATTGGAGTTTGGGATTTTGGCTTCTTAGGGTTTAGGGTTCGGAGTTTGGGCTTTCGGGTTTGAGCTTTAGGGGTTTAGGGTTTTCGGGGGTTCCGGGTTTCGCGTTGAGGTCCTAGGGGTGTGAATCACAACGTAAGGCGGTTCTCTAAACTAGGGTCCCTTTGAGGAGTTCCTTATTAATGTTGGACCCTGCTGAGTGGGGGCCCCCTGAATATGATAAACAGTAACAAGCACTCAAAAATATTTTTCCAATACTAGACCCCGGAGTAACCTCGGAATAAAAAGGGCGCCCTTTTCTGGTTTGAAGAGGGTGACAAGGCCACCCTAACGGGAATAAGGGCCTACTCTGGGTCCTAGTTGCCCTAAACCCTAAACCCTAAACCCTGAACCCTGAACCCTAAACCCTGAACCCTAAACCCTAAACCCTAACCCTAAACCCTAAACCCTAAACCCTAAACCCTAAGCACGGCTTAGGAATCAGAAATACAAAAAGACCCAGGCGCCTCGGCCCTTCGGAGCTCCGACTCGGCGGCCCGAGGCCCGGCGCCCTCCAGGCCTCGGAGGCGCGTCGCGCGCGGGGGTCCCGGTTGCCGCCCGCAGGAGTTTTTTGGGGGCTTTGGGGGTTTAGGGTTTGGGGTTTGGGGGTTCAGGGTTTAGGGTGTGGGTTTTCGGGAGAAGGGGTTTAGGGTTTAGGGCTTGGGGTTTAGGGTTTGGGGTTTGGGGTTTGGGGTTTAGGGTTTAGGCGGCGTGGGGTTTAGGGCTATGTGGTTTGAGTCTCGGGTCTGGGGTTTGGGGCTTTGGGGTGTAGGATCTGCGGTTTGGGGTTTAGGAATTAGGGTTTGGGATTAGGGTTCAGAGTTTTGGGGTTTAGGGGCATGGGATTTGGGGCTGAGGGTTTAGGGTCTGGGTTTTGGGGGTTGGGGTTGGGATCTGGGGTTTAGGGTATGGGGTTTGGGGCTAAGGGTTTCGTGGGGTTTAGGGTCTGGGGTGGAGAGTCGGTTTAGATTTCTTGTGTTGTTCGCCTTCACGGTTCTTTGTAGCGGCTTTAGTCGTGGGAGTACGGTTGAACCTGCTTAAGTAGTGTAAGATTTTGGATGGTGGTATGCGACCATTCGTCATTTGCTTCGCACTGATGGCTATCATATGGGCATTTCCCAAAACAGGGGTCCTAATATACGCCCAAGTACTATAATCCTTATTTTAGAAACCACCCCCCCAGAAAAAAAAAAAAAAAAGTACCCCGATTTTCGGAAAACCCCATAATGATTTCTAGTATCAGTTCGTAGTAGTCGCCGTCGTGCTGATGCTGGCGCGTTCCTTCTGTACTGCATTTGGTGGCTTTAGGTGTGATTTGGGGTTTAGGGTTCAGGGTTTAGGGTTTAGGGGTTTAGGGTTTAGGGTTTAGGGTTTAGGGTTTAGGGTTTAGGGTTTAGGGTTTAGGGTTTAGGGTTTAGGGTTTAGGGTTTAGGGTTTAGGGTTTAGGGTTCAGGGTCTTGCGGCTCTGGGTTTTGAGGCTTGGCCTTCTTCTGGTCGACTCGGCCCTTGCAGGTGGGTAATGCCCTTGCACCCACCTGGGAACTCCCTTCCTTGAAGCTGTCCCCCTAAACCCTAAACCCTAAACCCTAAACCCTAAACCCTAAACCCTAAACCCTAAGCCCTAAGCCCTAAACCCAAAAACCCTAAACCCTAAACCCCAAGAGGTCTCATCGGCTTCTGTTGGCTGTTGGGGGTGTTTGAGCCTTCAGGTGTGCCAGAAGGCTTCGTTTCGCCGAGCCCGAAACTCTAAACCCTAGCCCTTAGCCCTAAACCCTAAACTCCCCAAACCCCAGGCCCTCGGAAAGTGGGGTGAGTTGTGGGATCTGTTGGCTTGTGTGGGGGGCTTACGTGTTTCGCTTCGTCCTGTTGAGATTGGGGTTTGGGGTTTGGGGTTTAGGGTTTGTGTTCGGGGTTTAGGGCTACCAGGGTTTGGGGTTTAGGGTTTAGGTTTAGGGTTTAGGGTTGGGGTTTAAAGGGTTTGAAATTTGGAGGGGGCTTTGGGGCTGCAAGACGGCAAAATTCGAGTCTAGTCTCATTAGTTTCACCCGAAGCCCCAACAACCCTAAACCCTAGACCCTGACCCCGAGTAGCCCCAAACCCTAAACCCTAAACCCTAAACCCTAAACCCTAAACCCTAAACCCTAAACCCTAAACCCTAAACCCTAAACCCTAAACCCTAAACCCTGACCCCGAGTAGCCCCAAACCCTAAACCCTAAACCCTAAACCCTAAACCCTAAACCCTAGTAGCCCTTGAAGCCCTAGTCGCCCTAAACCCTAAATGCCCCAAAGCCCTCGCCCGCCACCAAGACTGGGGCGAGCCGTGATCTCCTGCACCTCCGTCCGCAGGACCTGGCCCAGGGTTTAGGGTTTAGGGTTCAGGGTTTAGGGTTTAGGGCTAGGGTTTAGGGTTTAGGGTTTAGGGTTTAGGGTTTAGGGTTTAGGGTTTAGGGTTTAGGGTTTAGGGTTTAGGGTTTAGGGTTTAGGGTTTAGGGTTTAGGGTTTAGGGTTTAGGGTTTAGGGTTTAGGGTTTAGGGTTAGGTTTAGGGTTTAGGGTTTAGGGTTTAGGGTTTAGGGTTTAGGGTTTAGGGTTTAGGGTTTAGGGTTTAGGGTTTAGGGTTTAGGGTTTAGGGTTTAGGGTTTAGGGTTAAGGTTTAGGGTTTAGGGTTTAGGGTTTCGGCTTCAGGGTTTAGGGTTTAGGGTTTAGGGTTTAGGGTTGAGGGTTGAGGGTTGAGGGTTGAGGGTTGAGGGTTGAGGGTTCAGGGTTCAGGGTTCAGGGTTCAGGGTTTAGGGTTTCGGGTTTAGGTTTACGGTTTAGGATGCACAGGTTTAGGGTTTGGGGTCCACAGACCCTTAGCCCGAGGCCCTGGAAAGCCTGAACCCTAAGCCGCTAAAACCTACACCTTACTAAAGCCGAATCCCAAACCACAACGCTAAACCCTAAACACTTAAACCGCTAACCCCTAAACCAAAACTCTAGACCAAAAACCCCTAAACCCTAAACCCCTAAACCCTAAACCCCTAAACCCTAAAACCCTAAACCCCTAAACCCTAAACCCCTAAAACCCTAAGACCCCCTCAACCTACTGAGCGCGGGCCTCGCACCGGGCCGTCGCCTGCTCCTCCACCGTAGCCATGTTTTCGCCAAGCCTCGGGTTCTACATCGGGTTCAGGGTTTAGGGTTTAGGGCTTGATAAGGCAGTTCAACCCGCTGGGGCTTAGTGGGGTTTAGGGTTTAGGGTTTAGGGTTTCGGGTTTAGGGTTTTGGGATTTAAGCGTCTAGGCTTCGCAGCCCTTCGAGCCCGAAGCCAGGTCTGAACATCTCGAAGCCCCAAAAGCCCCAACCCTAAACCCCAAGAACGTTAAACCCCAAATCCTAAACCCTAACCCCCAAACCCCAAACCCCAAACCCCAAACCCCAAACCCTAACTCCATCCTGACAAGGCTTTAGGGGCGTGGTGTTCTTATGAAAAGTTGGGCGTTGAGGATAGCTAGTTCTGCCACGCCAACAAGAAGGCCTGTCAGCCAACAACCCTAAACGACATTATTCGCAGCGCAACTGCAGTCTCAGGAGTCTTCCTCAACATTTCCTTTCAGAGTCTCTGGAAATTCTCAGCCCAAAAAGCTGTTAGGGCTTGGGGCTTAGGGCTTAGGGCTTAGGGCTTAGGGCTTAGAGCTTAGGGCTTAGGGCTTAGAGTTTAGGACTTAGGGTTTAGGGCTTAGGGCTCCCAGGTGAGGCGCTTGGTGTTGAGCTCAGACATCTTGCGCAGCAGCTCGTCCGCAACAGCCTGGCTCTGGGGGCGGAGAGATGCCACTTCTGGTACTTGCAAGGGCCCATCGTATGCCACTTAGGGTGTATAAGGAGGGTATTAGGGGGGTGCAGGGCGGGTAGAAGGGAGTATTAACGGGGGGTAAAGGGGGGGGGAAAAGGCCGGGTGTGAGGGGTGGGGGAGCCCTCAGAGCCCTCAAGTATACCCTAGAAACCCCTCGGGCCCATGGGGGGGCCCATGCTTCAGATCCCTTCTTTCCTGTGGCCACTCTCAACTCTTCGGCCCCCTCAAAAAAAACTCTCCCCAAGACTCCCACACTCCGACCTGCGAGGTGAGTGAAGACACTTGTCAAAGGAGGACTCCGGAGTTGCGGGTTTAGGGTTTAGGGTTTAGGGTTTAGGGTTTAGGGTTTAGGGTTTAGGGTTTAGGGAACCTCTTATCGTTTTATGATGCAATGATGCTGCTCTGGAAGTTGATTGATACATCGTTCACTCCTCCTTTGATTGGGCAAAACCAGGCACAGCCATACAGATGCTTCTCTTCACTTGCGACTTTCCCATGACTTTCCATGAACCTTCAAGTAGGCCCACCGTCCCTCTCCCCCAACTTTCTCCTTGTTCTGGCGCTTGGCAGAAGCTGTCGACTCCCTTAACCTCAGCATTTTGGGGGGGGGGGGGGGGGGGGGGGGGGGGGGGGGGGGGGGGGGGGGCGGAACGGAAACCCTTGAGCCTTAACCATAAACCTAAGCAGCTCAGGGGTTCAGGAGGGCTTGAGGGGAAATAGGGCTTTGGGTGGAGTTTAGGGGGCTGAAAAGGGGGTTTAGTACGTCGGTCTCGGGAGCTTGGACTCAGTGATTTAGGGCGGTTTCGTTGCAGGGGCGCTGGGTTGAGGCATGCATCAGGGAATGGTCACCGCAAACCCTTAACCCTAAACCCCAAACCCTAAACCCCAAACCCTAAACCCCAAACCCTAAACTCTAAAACCCTAAACTCTAAAACCCTAAACTTAAAGCCTGAGAGTCAGAAAGCGCCCGTGCCTTAGGATGGTGCAGATGCTTTGCCGGTGACGGGTGTCCAGGCCCGCACGCTTCCATCTTATAGCGTTCAGGGGACTTAATAACCACTTACAACTGGGCTTATAACCCTACTTATGATTGGGATAACCCCTATAAGGCCCTTTAGGGGTATTATAAGTAGGGTATATAAGTACAGTTATAAGTGGTTAGTAAGTACCATGAACCTCCAAGTAGGGTTCAGGGGATAGGGTTAACTCGGACCCCGAAGAATATGCCCCGAAGAGGTTCCCTGAATATACTCCTATACTACGACCCTTATAATTTGCCTTTGGAGGATCGTTAAGCCTGCAACCTTAGAGTCCCATGAGGTTTAGGGTTTTGGGGTGGACCACCTCTTAGTCAATCTCCCTGCAACCCCGAACTCTGCGCCGCCAAACCGAAAGCTTCACCCTCAAGCGCTAAACTCAACCCTACACCCTCCACCCTGAAACCCTCAAAGCCTCAAACCCTAAACCCTAAAACCTCAAACCCCTAAACCCCTAAACCCCTAAACCCTCAAACCCCCCTAAACCCCTAAACCCCTACACCCCTAAACCCCCCAACCCGACTCTCAAACACGCCGAGGCCAGAATGCCCAGTAGCGATCTCATTGCCCCTAAACCCCTAAACCCCTAAGCCCCTAAGCCCCTAAGCCCCTAAGCCCCTAAGCCCCTAAACCCTAAGCCCCCAAACCCTAAGCCCCTAAGCCCCTAAACCCCTAAGCCCCTCAACCCCTAAGCCCCTAAGCCCCTAAACCCCTAAACCCCTAAGCCCCTGAGCCCTAAACCCTGAAAGGCCCGATGAAGCCATACAGGCATTACCCTGGGACCCGGCCTCCACACTCAACCTCAAACTTCAGGCACTGTTGGAAATCCTACATACCCCAAACTAAAGGCCCTAAACCCTAAACCCCTAAAAAAATAAAAAGCCCTAAACCCTAAACCCCAAACCCCAAACCCAAAACCCTGAACCCTAAACCCTAAACCCCAAACTCAACAGCCCTAAACCCCAAACGGGCCCAAACCCTCAAGCCCTAAACCGTGTAAGGTTCAGGGTTTCGGGTTTCTTTTGGGGGGTTTTAAGGTCAAGGGCGGGGATCCCGGAACCCTAAACCCTAAACCCTAAACCCTAAACCCTAAACCCTAAACCCTAAACCCCAAAGAAACCCAAAGAAAGCCCCCTAAGAAGGTCCGGGATGCAGGTCTTCCGACAGCCGCGCCATCTCGCGCTGCGTCTCCTCGAAAGCAGCCCCCAGCTCCTCCGCGCAGGCTTCGGGCTTGGGGTTTCAAGATTTCTTGGGTTTATGATTTTAGGGTTTAGGGTTTAGGGTTTAGGGTTTAGGGTTTAGAGTCCAAGTTCAAGGCTTATGTAGCTAACGGGTCGACTTACAGGGATCGTTTTGGGGCTTACATATGGCCAAGTTGCGTTTTGCAGACGGGCCGAGTTAAGTGGAAAGAAAGGAAATTTCCTATACAGCCACTAAAGTATTTACGGTGCAGTCTTATCATTGCATCCCAACTTATGCCTTGCTGTTGCCGGCGCAATGTGCAAGATCACGGGCGAGGCTTTTTGCAGAGGGAATGCCCCTGACGAACATGGGGCAGGCAGGCGTGGTCAGTGGCGTTTTGTTTTTCTCATAGCACTGCTTGGATACTTGCAATGTTTGTCACAACTTTGTTGTCTCTGACCGATCGGCGGTCCTTCTCGTGGCGCCGAAGGTTGGGTTTGGGTGGCGGTCGGCTAGGGAGGGGGAAAAAACCGCGCCTGCAGTCTTAGAAGCCCCAACAGCACTGCTTTTCCTGCGCCTTTGCGAATTCGGCTGCGCTGCATGCCCAAGGACAAGGAAAATCAGGAACCCAGGGCGTGGAACCCTTAGACCCCCCACATTCCAAGAATGAAGGGCTTGAACATCCCAAAATAAGCCTTAATCAGCCCCTATGAAGGAAGGAAGGACATGTCTTAAACACATCTGCGTACATGATGTGATCGAATTGCCCGTGGCCCTCGCCCTCTCTTGAGCTACCTGCCTTGCACGAGAACCATGCCTGGCTGCAGGCCAGCCGTCTCTTCACAAAATTTCTGCTTGCGCTTTGGTATGAAGGTGTGACAGACATCAGTTCGAGGACGTACTTCGCCGATGGCTGCGAGCAGAACATGCCAACTTCAATTTCACCAACCCCATGTGCTGTAGAGCTTTTGGAGGCTTCTGAACCGCCAGGCCTCTACTCATTAAGCCCGCCGTAGAAAGACCCCTAACCCTAAACCCTAACTAAGCCCTAAACCCTAAACCACTTTAAACCCCGTTAAACCCCTTTAAACCCCATAAGCCCCTTTTCAGCTGCTAAAACCCTCCCGTCCCAGAAAACCTAAACCCTAAACCCTAAACCCTAAACCCTAAACCCTAAACCCTAAACCCTAAACCCTAAACCCTCTCCAGTGTCCTGGAGCTTGGAGGCCAGGCGAGATCGGAGACCTGCTTCCCGTTTGGACGGGGGCCGAGAGGGGTCGGAGGTTGGGGCTTTTAGGGGTGAGGGCCTTAGGGGTGCAGGGCTTTTAGGCTCTGGGGCTGAAAGGATTTAAGGTCTTAGAATTTGCGCTTTAGGGTCTTAGGGTTGAGGATTTCGGGCTTTTTAGGATTTAGGGTCTTAGGGTTCAGGACTTAGGGCTTAGGGTTTAGGATTTAGGCCCTTAGCGATCTTAGTTCAAGATATAGGGCTTAGGGTTAGCAACCAGGATCCTGATCTTAGCTGCCAGGTTCCCTTCCCCACAACCCCTAAACCCTAAACCCTAAACCCTAAACCCTAAACCCTAAACCCTAAACCCTAAACCCTAAACCCTACACCCTAAACCCTAAACCCTACCCCCTAAACCCAAAACCCAAAACCCAAAACCCTAAACCTCAAACATCACAAAGCCGCAGGCCTTCCACCGACTGCTGGCTGGACTCCACAGCAGACTTGAGGTCGCCAACCCGCACGACGGTCTCCTGGCTCTTGCTGTTCCGAAGAGGGTTTAGGGTTTAGGGTTTAGGGTTTCGGGTTTAGGGTTTAGGGTGAAGGGCTAGGGTTTAGGGTTTAGTTGAGGGTTTCGGGTTTAGGGTTCGGGTTTAGGGTTTAGGCGCCCATCCCCCTCCTTATCCCACTCCTTACCTGGTAGCCCAGTAACCATAACATTGCAATAGCGGGGGGTTGGCTATTTTATAAAGGAACCTTGAACCAAACAAAACAGGAAACAAAGGGTACCACTTTGCTACCAAGCTTAACTTCTGGAACCCCCAAGCCCCTAAGCCTTGATACTTAGGGTTTAGGGTTTAGGGCCCTAAACCCTGCTACCGAAAGCTTTCTCCCCACTGGAAGGATAGTCTGGGCCGTCCCCGCTTTAGGGCTCCAGCGTTTGCAGGGTTTAGGGTTTTGGGCCCTTGCTTAGGGTTTCGTCAGGGGGTTTACGGGGTATCCAAGCTCTTCAGCGCATGCACGAGCCCACAACCCTCAGGTCGAAACCGTCCAGCAACCGCAAGTCCAAAAAGCATACCCTAAACCCTTAACCCTAAATCTGACATACCCATATGAACCTGCTTTGTGAGGGGCCTTTTCACGGGCAGACCACGAGCAAGGGAACTAAAGTTGTCCGAGATAAATCCTTCTGCTTAGAATCCATGCTAGCAGGGCAAATGAGAGTTCATTCCATTGTTAAACCTGCTAGGGTCTTGCGATCCTTATGGTGATGGCTCCGCAGCTCCTCGGCCCCAAAATGGCAAAAGGTAGCATCGAATTCAGGAAGGCTTCTCAATCAAAAGTAATCGTCCGGGGCAAGACCGAAATCTGTTTTTTTTGTTTGTTTTTTCCAGTTGTTTTTCAAGTTTTTTTTGGTTTGGGGGGGTTGCAGTTTTTTCTACGTTTGTTTAGCTTTTCTTAGTTTCTGTTGGTTTTCCGTGTTCTTTTGTGAGAGTCGTGTGGTCTTCTGCAGACTACTGGATAACCAACAAAACGCCACAGCAACCGAGGCCAGCCCACCAATGGTAACCCCATTATAGACGACCTACTCAGGCACCTCCTCAACCCTACACGCGTGGTCCTTTTCTGTAAACTCGTTGGTGCTACAGGCGACCAGGAGCCATGGAATTATTTAGCTTCACTTAGGTTTCTTCCGCTTTTCTTAGATTTCCTTAGCCGCCTCAGTTTTTGGCCCATATGCTGAGACATTCCTTGTCGTTTCCTTCACTGCTGAAGACGCTCCCTACATAACAGGGTCATATGTGCACGTATGACTACACCCTAAACCAAGCCTGCTATGAACTCCCTTAATGTCCAGGGTTTAGGGTTGAGGCTTTAGGGGTAGTAGGCCCATCTTCGAAGGAGGAGATGCCAGCACAAGGCCCCACTAAAGCTGTAAGCGAATCGAGAACGTCCTGAACTGCTTGCCGCCAGCCATGGCTACTTAGGGTTCCGGATTGTGGGCTTGGGGTATAGGGCTGAGTGGCTTCGGTGTTCCCTAGACCCTAAACCCTAACCCCTAATAAACCCTAGAACCCTAGAACCCTAGAACCCTAGAACCCTAGAACCCTAGAACCCTAGAACCCTAGAACCCTAGAACCCTAGAACCCTAGAACCCTAGAACCCTGGAACCCTAGAACCCTAGAACCCTAGAACCCTAAACCCAAAACCCTAGAACCCTAGAACCCTAGAACCCTAGAACCCTAGAACCCTCGAACCCTAGAACCCTAGAACCCTGGAACCCTAGAACCCTAGAACCCTAGAACCCTAGAACCCTGGAACCCTAGAACCCTGGAACCCTAGAACCCTAGAACCCTAGAACCCTAGAACCCTAGAACCCTAGAACCCTGGAACCCTGGAACCCTAGAACCCTAGAACCCTAGAACCCTAGAACCCTAGAACCCTAGAACCCTAGAACCCTAGAACCCTAGAACCCTAGAACCCTAGAACCCTAAACCCTAAACCCTAAACCCTAAACCCTAAACCCTAAACCCTAAATCTGTCTCCGGGGCACCTCGTGGCTCTGCGAGAGCTGCTGCAGACGGCGGCTGCATCTCTCCAGCTCGGTGTCCACGTGGGGATCCTGCCAGGCACTCGCACTTTTGGGCGCACTTAAAAAGACCCTCAACCCTAAACCCTAAACCCTAAACCTAAACCCTAGACCCTAAACCCTAAACTCTAAACCTTAAACCCTAACCCTGGACCCCAGTTTTCAGACCTACAAACCCTCCAAAAGTCCATAAGCCCAATGTTTAGGCTTTAGGGTCGAAGGCTTCCAGCCCCTCAGCCCTTAGCCCTCAAGCACCTTAGGGTTTAGGGTTTAGGGTTTAGAGTTTAGGGTTGTATTAGGGTTTAGGGCTTAGGGTACCTACCGAACGCTTGGCCCCAAACGAACAACTGCCCTGTAACAGGCCGAAAACCCCTCCAACAAAAGATCCAGGGGCCCAGGGCCTTGGGTTGAGGGCTTGCGGTTCAGGGTCTAGAGTCGTACAATGAAGCCTGCGCACCCAAGCAGTCCGTCTGCGGTTTCATGTTTAGGGTTTAGAGTTTAGGGCGAAACCCTAAGTACCCCGAACCTAACACGCAGCGGCCCGAGCCAAACGAGCCAAATCCGCTATCTCACAGGGGTTGTTCTGAATTAGGGCTCTGGGCCTGGGGAATTGCTAGTGCCTTTCTGAAATCAAAGCCCTCCTGGAAAAGACACCAACGAACTAACAAAACCTGCACGGCCAGCCCTTCGCAAGGGCTTTCTGCGCATTCTCGAGCAGTTGCATCGAATGTGGTCTATCGCCTCCCTAAACCCTAAACCCTAAACCCTAAACCCTAAACCCTAAACCCTAAACCCTAAACCCTAAACCCTAAACCCTAAACCCTAGACCCTAGACCCTAGACCCTAAACCCTAAACCCTAAACCCTAAACCCGAGCCCCAGTCATTCTTGGCGCTGACCGTGCAGGGTTGCTGCGGCTCATCGAAATCAGCTGCTTCTTGCTGCAAGGTTTGGGGTTTAGGGTTTAGGGTTTAGGGTTTAGGGTTTAGGGTTTAGGGTTTAGGGTTTAGGGTTTAGGGTTTAGGGTTACAACACCTGGTGGAATCTCACCACCGTGGGTGGTGGTTCAACTCACTGCTCGCTGGTGAAGGACTGGCAGCTGGCGGAACCCCTAAACCCTAAACCCTAAGCCCTAAGCCCTAAACCCTAAACCCTAAACCCTAAGCCCGAAGTCCTAAACCCTAAACCCTAAACCCTAAACCCTAAACCCTAAACCCTAAACCCTAAACCCTAAACCCTAAACCCTAAGCCCTAAGCCCTAAGCCCTAAGCCCTAAGCCCTAAACCCTAAACCCTAAACCCTAAACCCTAAACCCTAAACCCTTAACCCCAATCCCTATTCATAAACCCCTAAACCCCAAAACTCAAAACCTCCAATCCCCAAGGACATACAATTCCCCAACGCTAAACCCTTCATCCCTAAACCCTCAAACCTTAATTCCCTCAATACCCTAAACACCCAATACCCTAAACCCTTAAGTCCCTAAACCCGAAACCCTAAACCCTTAACTCCCCAAAACCTGAACCCCTGGACCCTGGACCCCTGGACCCCTAAACCCAAAAAACCCTCAATCCCCTGAACCGCTAAACACTTAAACCCCGAAAACCCAAACCCCAAACTTAACTCAACGAGGAGAGGGCTTGGAGCAGGGATCCGTACGTCTGTCTCGTCTGGATCGTCCGACGACCGCTTCATAAACCCCGAAACCCCTAACTCCCTAAAACAACCAAAACCCCTAAAACCCCAAAACCCCTACACACCGAAACCCCAAACCCCAAACCAAAGCCTAAACCCCTGCCCTCAACCCCTAAGCCCTAAACCCTAAACCCCTAAACCCCTAAACCCTAGACCCCAAAACCATCCCCAGACCCGCAACCCCAAACACCGAAGGGTACCCTTTTTGGTGTAAGGGGGCTTCTTTGTTGGAAGCTAAGCCCCCCCAAACAAAGAATAAGGGCCTTAAACCCCAAGCCCCCTAAACCCTAAACCCCCAAAAACCTAAACCCTAAATCCTAAACCCCAAAACGCCTAAACCCTGAACTCTCCAAACCCTACTAGACGTCTAAACGTCCAAAACCCCAAAACCTCTTGGGTCCCTATCATTATAAGAGGCGGTACCATAATCCCTATTAAGGACTGTTAGAATAAGGGGAACATCCTAAACCCTAAACCCTACACCCTAAACCCTGAACCCTAAACCCCAAACCCCAAACCCTAAACCCCAAACCCTAAACCCTAAACCCTAACTCCAATCTATAGGTTTCCTTTGCAGTCCTGTTTGCCTGCGTAGCTTTTTTTTGGCTCCGGATTATACTAGCGAAACCATACTCTGGGGAAGCTGCCGCATCGACCCTCTGGATACGACCCTGAACCCTAACAACAGGGGTTTAGGGTTAGGGTTTAGGGTTTAGGGTTTTGGGTTTAGGGTTTAGGGTTTAGGGTTTAGGGCTTAGGGTTTAGGGTTTCGGGTTTCGGGTTTCGGGTTTCGGGTTTAGGGTTTAGGGTTTAGGGTTCAGGGTTCAGGGTTTTGGGTTTAGGGTTTAGGGTTTAGGGTGGGTTTAGGGTTTAAGGGGGCCCGCGATCCGGGTGCCTGCCGGACGCCTCTCCGAAGTGTGTCCTGCAGGTCCTGCCCCACCAAACATCGCGTCGTCAAGGGCTTTTACCTCTTATAGAGAACCCCAAAACACCTGCTTGTTTTTTCAAGGGCTTTTTCACTTTCCTTTTATGGAGAACCCCAAAACACCTGCGTGTTTTTTTCAAGGCCTTTTTCACTTTCTTCTTATAGAGAACCCCAAAACACCTGCTTGTTTTTTTCAAGGGCTTTGTCATTTCTTTGATGGAGAAGCCCCCAAAAAACCTGCTTTTGTTTGTAGGTCTCCCAAGACTCCTACAAGGAGTCTTCCTCTCATAGCCTTCAAGGATAGGGGACCCAAGAACCTGTTTTTTGGGGTCTACTAGGGTTTATGAGTAGAGTACCCCCCTATGATCATCCCTGTTAAGGACTGCTAGTACAAGGGGGAACGTCCCAATTTGAGGGTTTATAGGGTTTATGGTTTTAGGGCCGACCTTGCGAACCCCAAAAACCCTGCATTTTTGCAGGTTGTCTAAGAATCCTAGAATAGAAGGGGTATTCTAACCACAACCTTGAAACATGGAGGTCTTGGGTTCTTAAGGTAGGGATTCGGGATTACGTACTGAGATGGCCAATATCGAACAGAAACTCACGTTTTTTTATGAAAGGTACTGTGGAAGGGGGAAGGGTTCATGGAGAACTGCCCATGCAAGTTACTAGAAAGCCGGAAAAAACCATCACATCTGGTTTCGTTTCCATTCTTATTGCTGACGCTTTGGGATGTTCCCCCTTCTACTAGCAGTCCTTAATAGGGGTTTTAGTACCCCCTACTATTATCCCCATAAAGGACTGTTAGCATTGTTGGGAACATTTTAACTGACGCTCATTTCATGGTCTGCTTTGCCATCTCCATCTTCCTGTCTGGCCCAGCCAAAGGCCCTTCCTCATGGTTTGGGAAGTCGATGTCTGACGAGTAATCGCACCGCAAACCCAACAAAACCCACAAAAAAAACAACACAAACCCAACAAAAACCCAACACAAACCCAACAAAAAAACCAAACAAAAACCAACACAAACCCCAACAAAAACACAAACGCCCTTCACCGCACCCTGTTAGCTCTCCTGCAAGCGCGAGAGGACCTCGGAGCGGTGGGCGGTAAACTCCTGGCGCCGACCCTAAACCCTAAACCCTAAACCCCGAGACCAAGGCTTTTGTGTCATTGTCTCTCTCTGTCTCTCTCCCTCTCTCTCTCTTTCTCTCTCTCCCTTTTTTTTGTTGGGGGGGGGGGGGGGGGGGGGGGATGGGGTAGGGTTGGGAGCTTATAGGTGCTTGGGTTTAGGGTTTAGGGTTTAGGGGCTGGGGGTAGGGGTTTGGGCTGTAAAGTCAGGGTTCGGGGTTTAGGGGGGTTATAGTGTTCTAGGGCTTTAGGGTTGAGCCATAAGGTTAGAGGGTTTTTGGGGGTTCGAGGGTTTTAGAGTTAAAGCCGTTGAGGAACCCTAAACCCTAAACCCAAAACCCTAAACCCTAAACCCTAAACCCTAAACCCTCCCCAGTTCGTCTTAGGCTTGGGGTTTGAAGGCTTTGGAGCCCTGCCGGCCTCGTCATTTCCTAGGGGGGCAAATCGGACCAAGCCCCGGGTCCCGGACTTAGGGCTTATAGGGTTCAGGGTTTAGGGTTTGGGGTTTAGGGTTCAGGGTTTAGGGTTTAGGGTTTAGGGTTCAGGGTTTAGGGTTTGGGGTTTGAGGCTCCGGCTTCGGGTTTAGGATGACTTAGGGCTCAGATTGTTGGTTTAGGGCTTAGGGGCTTACGCGAGGGGGGGGGGGGGGGGGCTTGCCTCTTACCCAGATCTGGGCTTGGGCCGTGAAATTAGAACGGAGTCTTGTCGGTGGGGGTGATGAAGTAGAGGTCGTACTTTGAGGGGCATCATGTAGTGTGGGGCTTCTGACTTCAGACACCCTAACTTGGCTGCACTCAGGGAGGGTAGCTATACATTAAACCTTTAGCTGCCTTACTAAGAAACCCAATAAACCCCAAAAAAAGGTAAGGATCTAAAGTTCGAGAACTGCCTGTGTCCAAGCCCCGATAGGCCGCGTATGCAGGGTTGAGTTCCCCTACTTCTGATCTAAAGTTACGGTAAAGTGCCACAAAACAAACAACCCTAAACCCTAAACCCTAAACCCTAAACCCTAAACCCTAAACCCTAAACCCTAAACCCTAAACCCTAAACCCTAAACCCTAAACCCTAAACCCTAAACCCTAAACAACGGTCAGGTTCCTTGAGCTGCGCGGTACGTACCAACACTCGGACAGGCCAAGTCAACGAGTCCTCCCAGTTGGCCACAAGCCTCGACTCCTGGGCGACGGGGTTTTAAGGCTTCTAGGATGTACAGGAGGGTTTAGGGTTTAGGGTTTAGGGTTTAGTAGGGTTTAGGGTTTAGGGTTTAGGGTTTAGGGTTTAGTGTTTAGGGTTTAGGGTTTAGGGTTTAGGGTTTAGGGTTTAGGGTTTAGGGTTTAGGGTTTAGGGTTTAGGGTTTAGGGTTTAGGGTTTAGGGTTTGGGGTTTAGGGTTTGGGGTTTGGGCTTTGGGGTTTGGGGTTTGGGGTTTGGGGTTTAGGGTAGGGTTTTAAGGATCTGAATCGCGCCCATTGGGCGCACAGAGTCTAGATAGCTTATAAGGCTTGTAGGTCCTCAGAGGGCATCTAGGGGGCCAAAAAAGTCTTAGCAAGCCCATGATCCGCACAAAGCCTTAGCAAGCCTCCGTTAGGCCTACAAGACTTAATACGCCTGCACCCCTCTTAACCCTCAAAACAAGGCTGGCCCTAAGCCCAAACACCTAAACCGAACCCTATAAACCCTAAACCCTAAACCCTAAACTCCAAACCCTAAACCCCTCTCCTGAACCCTGACATTCCCGAACCATCAACTCTTTACCCTCAAAAAAAGGGTTGGCCCTAAGCCCAAAAACCCTAAAGCGAATCCTATAAACCCTAAACCCTAAACCCCTAAACCCCTAAGCCCCTAAGCCCCTACACCCCTAAACCCTAAACTCTAAACCCTAAACCCTAAACCTGCGACTGCCCCTTGCTTTGGCTGCAGCCAAGGGGCCACTTGAGAAAGTTGATCCATCCACTTCTGGCCGCGTGCTGAGTATCCAGCTGCCGATACAAACGCCTTGGCTTGTGGTTCTGGGATTACAGATGAGGAAGTAGGGTTTAGGGTTTAGGGTTTAGGGTTGAGGGTTTAGGGGTTTTTTAGGGTTTAGGGTTTGGGTCAGGCCCTCGGGGGTGGTTGGGGGGGGGGGGGGGGCGGGGACAATTATGTGGACAACGTGTTGCTTAAATCCAATCAGTCCTAGAATTCCCAGGTTAACATGCAAGATGTACAAACGCCACGGGAAAGCCGGGAATGAAAGCATCGCTAAACCCAAACAACCCTGAATCCAAAACCCTGACTGTAAGATCCCGGAGTCCAGCAGCATCTGTGTAACCCTGAGGGGAACGTATGGGCGCGAACGGCAGGAAGTGTAGGAAGGGCGCTGCAGAAGCCACTGAGTCAGTAAGCCCTAACCCCTAAAAAAACCCTAAAAACCTAAGAACACCCAAGACCCTAAACCCTGAACCCCTAAACCCTAAACCCCCTAAACCCCCAAGCCCCAAAACCCTGAACCCACAAACGTTCTCAAAGGATCGGCCCGGTCTTCAACGACGGAAGCCATCAGGTCGCATTCCAGTTGCACAAGACGGAGCAGTGGCTAAAGCATGAGACGTGCAGGGTTTAGGGTGTAGGAATGGGGTTGAGGGATTAAGGGTTTATGGTTGCCGGTAGGGCTGTGGGGTGTAGGGTTGATAGGGCTCAGGGTCCAGAATTCATTCCAAACGAGGGCTTTGAAACACCTGCTTCCCTACAAGCAACCCTAAGCCCTACACCCTACACCCTACACGATAAACCCTGAACCCTGAACCCTAAACCCTAAACCCGAAACCCGAACTACACATGGACCCTCTGGAGTACGAAAGGTCTTGTTGGGAGCCAGCTTCACACCGGACGGGATCGCACTCGGATCGCACATGCTTTGGGGGTCTAGGGTTTAACCCCCCAAAACCCTAGACCCTAAACTGCAAGCCCTAAACCCTAAACCCTGAACCCTTTTGCTTTCCTGTTATGAACCAAACGGTTCAGGGTTTGGGGTGGGGCGTTTAGGTTGGAGGGGTCCAAGCCTGTTGAACCCTAAATTTGGAATTTGGTTTGACCGAAAACAACGACCTACCTAAGTCACAAGAAGGGATGGGGGCTGCAAACCCGAACTCCTAAACCCCTAAACTCCAAACCCCAAAGCTCAGACTCTGAACCACAAACCCAAACCCTAAACCGTAAACCCCAAACCCTAAACCCTAAACACTAAACCCTCCTTTCAGGCCGGTTCGAAGGAACGCCAACCAGAAATCTTAGACCCTAAGCCCCCTCTGCCATGGCGTACATGAGGGCTGCTGCACTCTGGTAGTGGCTCAAACCTCGAGTATGGAGACGCCGTGCTGTGCAGCCATCTCGAGAATTGCCCTCCAAACCTTAGACCCGAAAGCCGCAACATGCTAGTTTAGGGTTTAGGGGCTTGGGGAATGTAGGGTTTAGGGTTTGAGGTTGGGGGCTGGGGGTTTCCTGACCTCACCTCGACGTGGGGGTGCTCCGGGTTTGGGCAGGCTTTGCAAATACCACCTAGGCTGATCCCGTCAACCCTCTCCTCTCAAAAAAGCCTTAAGTACACATAATCCTGGTAAACCCAACCAGGGAAAATACAAAATGTCTCAGGGCCTACACCTACCCCACGCCCGAAACACAACTCCTTACTTAATGGGGTCTTGGGCTCGCTCGATAAACAAGCCCTCAGCTAATCCTCACCCCCTATGTTCATTAGGAGGTCCTAGTCAAAGCTTAGGGCTTAGGGTTTTACGGTTTTAGGGTTTTAGGGCTTAGGGATTAGGTCTGGGGTTAGGGTTTAGGGTTCAGGGTGAGCCCTAGACCCTACACCGCCCGTGTACATAACCCCTACGGCCCTTCCTGTAGCGCCTTCTCTGAGGGAGGTCTCTGGTCTTCTTCGGGATCAATGGCATGCGAAGGGGCTGAGGGCTTGGGGAATCGTGTTTAACAGCTTTTGGGTTTGGGGTGTAGGGTTTACTGTAAGGTATAGATTTCGAGGTTGAGAGTGTGAGTGCTTTTTCGTCTTCGTGAAACCGATGCTGCAAGAGGTCTGTGGCGCTGGCGTGCGGCATGACTGAGTGGATAAACCCTAAACCCTGAACGCTACACCCTCTATCCGGCAAGTCAGTGCTTAACGACACCCGGGATCCGTGAGCCTTGTGCGCCAACCTCCAAATCTGAAAAAAAAAAAAAAGAGCCGTGAATCGGAACCTGTAAAGCCCGTGAAGCCCTCAGCCACGAAACTCTGAGTCCTTACACCCCCCTATAGTCCCAAATACCAAGCTCTAAGCACTAAACTCACTAAACCCAAGAGCTAGGTACCCTAAACCCTAAACCCTAAACCCTGAACCCTAAACCCTAAACCCTAAACCCTAAACCCTAAACCCTAAAGCCTAAAGCCTAAAGCCTAAAGCCTAAAGCCTAAAGCCTAAACCCTGAACCCTGAACCCTGAATTTTAAAGCCTTCCCTAAACCCTAAACCCTAACCCTAGATTGGTTTACTGTAGGGCTGAGTTGGAAGCATTTCAGGCATAGGGTCGAGAAGCACAAAACCCCAAACCCTAAACCCTAACCCCTAAACCCTGAACCCTGAACCCGAAAGCCTGAACCAAATCATGTCGCGTTTGGGGTTCAAGGGTTTGGGTTTTCGGGTGTATATATCTAGGGCTTCTACCTTGGACCCTTAAGGACCCTTGGGTTTTGGGGACCCTTTCTAAGGACTATTAAGGGCATATACGGGCCATGTTAGGAGTATATTAAGGGGAACCTTTAGGGGTACAACCTTAGGGGTACGAGTCTTCATCCCTTGTATATGGGAGATTCGAAGTTCAATGATTCAAGGTTTCAGGCCGACATGCCGGGTTCAGGGTTCAGGGCTCAGGGTTCAGGATTTGGGCTGCACGGCTAGGCCCTAAACCCTAAACCCTACACGTGGGAAGAGTCGTGCAACGCGCACAGCACCCTTAGCCTCTCCGTTCCTTCCGTACATTTGGAGCCCCTCTAGTGAGGGGTGGTGACACAGTGAAGTATAATGGCCGGGCTTCCTGGCTGACCTACGGTTTGGGCCCTAGGGCTTTGTATTTGAAACCGGTGACCCTCTTTACCTACAGTTTTATGGGGTCTGCCTACGAAATAATGGGCAGCTACTACTAAACTGTAGGTAAAGAGTGCCCCAGGAAAGCTTACCTTAGGGTTCAGGGTTTCCGGGTGTTAGGGTGTTAGCATCCTCTCCGAAACCCGGAGCAATAAAAACCCTGGATGTGGAACGCTCAACCATCCGAGGCTCCCGAAACCCAAAACCCCTAAACCTCTAAACCCAAACCCCTAAACCCTAAGAACCCTAAAAACCCATAAACCCAAAACCCTAAACCCTAAACCCTCAAACCCTACCAGGGATAAACCCTATACCCTGAACCCTCAACCCTAAACCTAAACCCGAAACCCTAAACCCCTAAGCCTCTGTAAGCCCTAAGCCTTGGTGTGAGGATGCCCATTAGGGGTTTAGGGTTTAGGGTTTAGGATTTAGGGTTTAGGGTTGCTTTTTAGGGGCTTTTTCGGCGCTTGTTCGGGGCTTTTTCTGGGCTTTTCAAGGCGTTGAGGGGTTTAAGGGGTTGTAGGGACTAAGGGAACTGGCAGACATACTCAAGAAACAGGGCTTTCTTAGGGCGTCAAGGGTTTGCTAGGTCACGGATAGGTGTATTTCCAAAATAGGCGGTTCCCTCAATTTGCCCCAAAACAGCAGAATCTTCATTCTAGGAACCACCAAAAGGGTACCCCCTATTTTCACTCCAGAAAGGTCTAGCTTCGGGCTTCGTGGGGGTTTGGACCAGGCGAGCAAAGTCCCGAGACGGGGGCGTGCGCGCGCTAAGGTCTTTTGCCCTACGGTATCCTCCACTTTCATGGCTCCTTAGAACTGCACCCTGAACCCTGAACCCTACTAAACCCTAAAAGCCTAAACCCTAAACCCTAAACCCTAAAAGCCCTAAACCCTAAAAGCCCAAAGCCCAAAGCCCAAAGCCCTAAGCCCTAAACCCTAAACCCTAAACCCTAAGCCCTCAACCCTAAACCCGAAACCCTAAACCTCTAAGCCTCTGTAAGCCCTCAGCCTTGATGTGAGGATGCCCGCTTAGGGTTTAGGGTTTAGGGTTTGGGGTTTAGGGTTTAGGGTTTTGAGTTTTGGGTTTGTTCGGGGCTTGTTCGGGGCTTGTTCGGGGCTTTAAGGGGTTTAGGGGCTTAAGGGGTTATAGGGACTAAGGGAGCACATTGCTGGCAGACATACTCAAGAAACGGGGCTTTCTTGGGGCTTCAAGGGTTTGCGAGTATTAAGTAACAGATAAGTGTATTTCCAAAAATAGGGAGTGCCCTCAATTTACCCCAAACAAGCAGAATCCTTACTATAGGAACCACCAAAAGGGTACCCCCTATTTTCACTCAACAAAGGTTTAAGGGGTTGTAGGGACTAAGGGAACGCATTGTATGAGGAACCACCAAAAGGGGACCCCTATTTTAACTCACTAAAGGTCTAGTTTGGGGTCTAGGGTTTAGGGTTTAGGGTTTAGGATTTAGGGCTTAGGGTTTAGGGTTTAGGGTTTCGGGTTTCGGGTTTAGGGTTCCGGGCTTCGTGGGGATTTGCCATCGGCAGACCAGACGAGCAAATTCCCGAGACCGGGGCGATAAGGTCCCCTGCCCTTCTGTGTGCTGCACCTTTCATGGCTCCTTAGAACTACACCCTAAACCCTAAACCGTAACCCCTAACCCCTAAACCCTAAACCTAAACCCTAAACCCTAACCCTCTTGAGATGAACGCGTCTCCGACATCACCGCCCCCACATCGGGTACTGCGAGGTTCCGAGGGGCTCGGAGGCCACAGGCTCAGAAACGGGGAATTGGGCGCCTGGCTTAGGGGTTTAGGGTTTAGGGTTTAGGGTTTAGGGTCTAGGGTCTAGGGTCTAGGGTCTAGGGTCTAGGGTTCAGAACAGTTGCAATGTTTTCAAGGGAGGGAGGGGGGGGAGTAATTAAGCGAGTGCTCCCTACTCCCACCTGAGCTTTTGTAAGGTTTCCTTGGGTTCCGCTGAGCCCTAACCGTAAATGCAGATCCTTGGGGCATGAGCAGCGGCGTCGGCAAGGGCTTAGGGTCAAAATCTGGGTTTAGGTTCATCTGGAAACAACGCGAATCATCACATGAATCAATCTGCAGACGCGTAATGGAACAAAACTGGCCATGCAAAACCTCAATGCTGTACGAAGAGCTTCAAAAGAAGCAGCTGACTAATGAGCATGTTTTCGGATTCAGGGCTTGCAAGGCTCAATTTGGGCCTTTGGGGGTTCGGGCTTAGGAACAAGGAAGCGCTGCGACAAGAACCCTTCCCCTGAAACTGCCGCAGCCCTGTGAACCCCAAACCCTGACGCCCTGAACCCTGAACTTAAACTTACACCCTAAACCCTAAACTAACCCTAAACCCTAAACCCTAAACCCTAAACCCTAAACCCTAAACCCTAAACCCTAAACCCTAAACCCTA